CTCTCTCACTTTGTGACACACCCATTTCGTGCCCCTGTGGCTTCCACAACCTGCCAGAGATGCTTTACTTTCCTTGGCTCAGGATGCAGTGGAGAAGGAATCAGGAGCCGCTGTCAGAGGTGAGACTGTTTTCCTTCACCATCCTGTGCAACCCGCCTCCTTCCCTGCAAAATGCGGGCTGATCCTGGCATCGAGGCTGGGAGAGGTGGAGACTGAGCCTGAGGGTCAGCCCAGATATTTGGCAGGGTCTATGGCAGCCAAGCAACCCAGGCACTGCTGCACAACTGTCCACCACCGGTGGCTGGCCTCAATGCCTTTGGCCCAGGCTGTTGCTTTCCCAAACGGGCCTTGCACACAGCTGGGTGGATGGCACGCTCCAGCCCCTGCCTGAGAGATGATCCGGATGGGACCACCAGTGCTGGAGAGAGACACGCAGCATGGACACGAACCTTTCTGAACCTCAGACCTGGGGACTTTCCCTGGCACATGCCGTTGCCTGCTGGAAATTTTGGGCCCCAGCAAGACCCGGGCACTGCTGTCCTGCACTTCTGCCCACTCCCCATGCGTGCAGCCCACAGGCTGCTTCCACCTGGCACAGCCTCAGCATCCCGAGACCTGGCTCTTACCAGCTTCCCCCTGCAATCTTGGCCCATCAACTGCCCTGAGGACGGTAGGACACAGCAGCAAGGCAAGTTTGGAAGTGCCTCTGCCTACTCCGGGCAGGGTGCGTCCAGGCAGGGCTCCAGCCTGCAGCAGGAAGGCTCCTGCTCGCTCAGCGTCAGCCACCAAAGTGCCCGAGAGCGGGAGGAAGTGCCCTGGCCCCGCGGTGGGACAGGGAGGAGCTGGTGTTGAGACTGCTCTCATGGTCCCTTCCTGTTTTTCTTCTCCACAGCTTGAAAGCAAAGTTGACTTTGGCATTCGGAGCCCTCTCCTTTATCCCAGATTGCTAGTCACCCCAGCCCTCCCCTCCCATCTTCGCTGGTCCGGAGGAGACCTCTGCTCCCCAACGTTCAGCACCAGGGCATCCTCCCCCCAGGCAGCATCCAGCACTGAGTGTCTTTAGCCCCCCCAAGCACTGGGCTTATTGCTTCCTTGGGGCCCCCGCTGCCTGTGTGTCACATCCACAGGCTTTTGGGGCAGGGGGCTGAGCCACGGTGGGTCCCAGCAAGCAGCCATGGTGCAGGTAGCCAGGGCTTCGCAGCAGTGTGGGCAGCTCTTGCCTCCTCTTGGTATCTCCAGCTGCCAAATAGCTGGCAGGTCCCATCTCTAAAGCTTCCATCAGAGAGGAGAGGGGCCAGCCTGCAGGTCCGAGGGTGGTGGTATGCAGTGATGAGGACCAGATATGCATCTCCTGCCCTTGGGCTGCCCTGGTCACCAGAACTGGGTGTCCCCACTGTCTAGCCAGTCCAGTCCTGCCTAAGGAAGGGGACAGACTGCTTGGCACACGGGGACAGCACAGCTTTGGGTCCCCTCTGCCCAGCCTCTCTCATCACGCCTGCCTGCACGGAGCAGACACACATTGCCCTGTAGATGTGCAAGGCTCCAGGGGTCTCTGCTCCCCCTGACCAGCAGCAATGTCCTATTTGGAGCACGCCTGGGCTTTCTGGAGTTTACAAGCAGGCAGGACCCAGGAGCTGGAGCCACTGGGTCACAAGCTTTCCCATTTTCTGGCCGTTGTGCTCCTGCGTCTTGAGCAGGCGTCAGCCTCTAAACCAGAACCAGGTGCTGGGAAATCACTGAGCTCCATTTGCAAATGCTGGAGCTGAAGTTATGGGATGGATGTCATACGTGTTCAACAGCATCCTGTTGACAATCACAGCCCTGATCCTCTCCATAGTGGTGGAGGAGTGGGTTCTGGTGGTGGTAAGAGCAGGTTTCCAAGTGAAAATGGCTGCCCATGGCATTCTGGGGATGGAAGGGAGACAAGGGTGACCGTGACATATCAGAAAGGGTGTTGACTGTGTTGGATGCTGGAGATCAGAGTCCAGCAGGTGATGGTAGCATGACACAGCTGGAGCTGGCAAGTTCTGAGAATCACCTGGGAGAGGGAATGTGGCCATCGGGTCCAGAAGCCCAGGCAAGATTTGACCCCACATAGCTCCCCAGCTCAGTGACTTGTCTTACTTGGTTCATGGAGAGCCCTCCACGGATGGAGGTGGTCCGTGGAGAGCCCTCCACCACCCAAGGATGGTGCCATCTCAGCAGCACGCAGGAGATGGAGGGCTGACCCCATCTCCCCCAACAGGGTGAGTGCACTCACCAGGGACAGAGAGGGGCTGGGACCCCCAAAGCCAAGCACTGGCATGGGCAGCCCCCATGCCCCAGCACCCCGGGTGCGAGTGCAAGGGCACCCAGCGGGGGCAGAGAGGTCCGTAGCACACAGACACTGCAAAGGACACTGCACTGCCTCTGTCCCCTCCAACCCAGTTCCCATGAGGACCCTTCTGGGAGGTCCCTCCCTCCAGATCCCTCTGCAGTTTGGGTTCAAGGGCAGCCCTGCTGGGAGTGACACATATTCCTGGTGGGGCAGACGCAGGGACCCACCCCGCGCCGGCTCTGCTCCCCATGCTCCCTGCACTGCGGCTGTCTGAATTTCCACCCAGCCCCATCTGGATCTCATTGGGCCGCTGGCGCTGAGCACCGGGGTCGGGAGGTGTCAACACATGGAAGCCATTAGAGGGGCCAGGTCGAAGTGCGGGGACGGGGCCACATGCTGATCGAGGGGGGCTGTGCAGAAGGTCCTGTCCCCGCCGTCGGGCTGGTGAGACATCCTAGGCAGCTGCCTGCATCCTCTTCTGACACTCAGCAAGGGCTGGCCTGGGTGCTACACTGAAATCACAATAGGTCTGGGGACAACAGGCAAGGGTCTCAGCCCCTCCAGGCACCTGGGGAGGGGACTGATCTGTCTGCGGACCAGCCCTGCTACCTGTGCAACTCCTGTAAGGACCGTCCCCAAACTGGCATCTCACCTGGTGCCACTCACTTCTCCCAGCACCATCTGCAAAGCGGTCTTGCCTGGGCAGTGCCAATGCTACCCCCTTTATTGGCATCACTGCTCCGTCCAGCCACAGCACGCGGAAGAAGAGCAGAGGGATGGAGGGGTTCCCTTCTGCCTGCTGGTGGCTGGTGCGGGGTGCTGAGCCCATCAGCTGCTCACTGATGCCCAGCACCCCAGGAGCCTGCACCCACGGTCCCCCTTGACA